CCCCCCCCCCCCCCCCTTTCGCCTTTGCACAGATGTCCGCATTGCTTCGAGTGCCCGTGCTGCCGCTGCGTCCTGGTCCCATCGCCGGTGAGCCTCGACCGCTCTGCTTCCTCCTTCTCCTCTGCTGGCACGTCGTACTGCTTACGGTGCCTCTACTGCCAGTGGACCAGCGAGGACTCGGGCCTCGTCGCACAGGACCCAGCGGGCCTTGCCGCCGCCGCGGCTGCTGAAGAGAAGAAGGGTGGCGGCAGCAACAGGACCAGCACGGCGACGGTTATCGGCGCCCTGCTCGAGGCGGCCCAGCAAAGGGAAGCGGAGGCCGCCCAGCGAGCGAGGTCGGCGGCGGGCGGAGGGGGCGGGAGTCGGGGCCGGGATCGGGGTCGGGCTGCCAGGCTTCGTACCGGGACCACGAACAGCGGTGGCGGCCGCGGCCGCGATGTGGATTCGTCGCTGTTCTCTTCGGCGGCGAGTACGACCGGGCCCTGGAAGGCATGTATGAGAAGGGGGAACAAGTGTTTCTGCCGCCGTTTAAGTGAACGTCGAAAAGCTCAACATGAGCTGTGTACCTGCAGTCCGCTGCTGGACGACGAGTGGACCGAAAGCCAGCCCCGGTGCATGTCTTCCGAAGTTCCAGGTCGCAGCGCAAAGCATCACGGACATGTATTGTAGCGCGAAGAACCGGGTTCTCTGTCCCTCGTATAACGTAAATGAGAACCAGAGAAGCTGATCACAACGTGCTTGCCGTATTGGTTTGCAATTTCGGTGCACCGTCCGTTTTATGTAGGAGACACTGGTGGCCCGTTTCACGTCCCTCACAACCCCCATCCCCTGGCTTTGTTCCCCCGGCCAGCAGGCATTTCGTCCCACACCACGCGCGCCGTCTTCGCTGGATGTGCTGTTCAAGTAGTTCGTACCCTTCTTGCTTTTGGGACATGCCTTCAACTGCCCTCCTTCTTCTTCTTGCTCACCCCTCCCCTCCCCCTAAAGGTGTCCGACCTTAACAATGCTGTCGCGCGGAGGACCCAAGTCGTGGCGGCGGCGTCTCGCTCCGTCGCACTTCCCCAACCACCCGCCGCCGCCGGTACGCCCGCGGCCGTCTCCCCGCCGTGGGCCCTACGGGGGGACACGGACGGCCCAGACCCGGCCCTGTGGACCCTCTCCAGCGGGCACGAGACCGCCGGGCTGGCTGAGAGGGTGGAAGGGTCGTGGTCGTCGCCGCCACGGCAGTCGCCGCCTGCTCGCGGAGCACGAGGAGACGGTGGCGGCGGCGGCGGCTCGGAACTGGCGGTAAGCGGGGGGGCGGGCGGCGGTGGTGGCGTTCCCAGGCGCGTGCGGTTGAGGGCGCGGCTGGGCAAGCGGTGCAGGAAGGACCTGGCGTTGGGTAGGACGGGGATCTTGATCAAGGCCACGTTTAACCCTCTAGACGGAGACTCCAGCACCGCGAAGGCAAGGAGGGAATAAAGAGAGAGGACAGCGGGGGTTGTTGTATCGTCGCGGGGTTCCGCAGCCCAGCTTATTGAACATCGAACTGGGGCCGATGGCGGGGGAGGTCGTCCTTCTCGTCTCCCTTGAAGCGGCCTCCGCTCTTCACCAAGGACGAAGGAAGCGGGGGTTGGACCTTGTGCGGCGCCTCCGCTTGCGTGTATGCCTAAATGGCGTCGGCCGACCCTACGCTGTCAACCTAGCTCGATGTGGTGCTTTTGCTGCCGCGTGGAGGTGTACCGGGGAATGACAGAGGAGTAATTTTCGAGCAGCGATACAAACACACAACACACATGAGGTGTGTGAGCGTTTTTTCCCGGTGTTTTCTCAACGACAAAATCTACGAATTCACGGTGCCTCCTTGCCCAGGTCTCTGCTTGCCACCCCCTCCCCCCGCCCTTTCCTCAAAATCTGCCCTTGGTCCAATCGCCCACAAACACACACGACGAACGAACCGGCAGGAGGGCATTAAAAAAACCCGGTTCAAGAAGGATTGCTCGGCCGCGCTGTCGGTACCGAGGATTACGGTGGCGTCTCTGCCCTCCTCCCTGGCGTTGCTAGGACCGACGACGGCGGCAGCGGCAAGCAAAACAGCGGCGCCGCGGCAACAGGGTGGGCGAGAAGAAGACAGTCACGGTGGTGAAGGAAGCGAAGTGGTCGCGGGGCAGCAACCGCAGCAGCAGCAGCAGCCTTCGCTAGTCCTGCGGCTCGCCAACCCTCAGATCACCCTGCTTCGGCTCCGCGTGGCGACGGAACACGGTCCCTCGACGGCCGAGAGCGACCTGGACGGAAACATCGCCGCCGCCGCCGCCGCCACGGTCGGTGTCGATGAGACGTCGCCGCCGCGGGCGGAACAGAGCGCTGGCGGAGGGGGAGACGGGGGCAGAAAAGAAGGCCGTGCTGCTGCCTCCGCTTCGTCGGGGTCACCCGCGACCGGCGTGACCGCTGCTGCCGCCCCCGCTCTTGGTGCTGGTGGCGGGAACGCCGGGTTCGTGACCGTGCGGCCGGCGGGCTGGGGGGAGGATGACTGGGTGCACCTGGAAGGGAGGGAGGACGAGATCATCCGCCAGCCGGGCGACAGATATCGCTTGCCCCGCGGCCTCCTGTCGCGTGCTGACGACGGCGGCGGCGGGTACACGGGAAGCCTCCCGGGAGCCGAACGGAGTGGTCGCGCTGGCGCCACGCCCTTCTTGCTGCACCAGCAGGGGGATGTGGCGTGGGTAAGGGTTCCGTTGGACAAGGCTTGCGCCGATAGAGTAGCAGCGGCAGCTAAGGCGGCGGCGGCGGCGGCGTTGCCGGTGTTGGACGTCCGGTTTTCCCTTGTCATGGGAGAAGGGGATGGAGGAGGTGGTGACGACATTTCGATGCCGATAGCGGTTCGATTCCCCTTATCCAGCTGTCCGTCGTAAACGTTCAACCAGTCACCGTGTAGAACGTGCGTTCCCGCCGTCCCCTGCTGGTAGGCGGGACGGGGGAGGTTCTTGAACGTTGCACCTCCTGCCAGTGGCTTCATGGTTGATTGATTGCTCGACCCGACAACTGTTGAAGAAGGTTTAGATACCGATCATCACTTCAGCGGTGGATCCTGCGTTACGTCCTGGCACCTGTGTGTACTTCGAAGTATGTTGTGTCGTAAGCTCGACTGGACAGTAGACTTGTGAGCCTCTCGACACAAACAATATTTGACGTTTCGTTTTTGCGGCCCGCGATTTCACGGCGAAGACCAAGGTAGGATGCGGCAGTCTCGTGGGCTTTGCTTGGTTGAGGGAAGCGTCGGTAGAATAGGTAACAGGTTGATAGATCTCAGAGTTTTGGCCAAAAGAGGAGTAAGCAGAGATCCAGGGAGTGCACTACAGCAGTGGCGTCGAATAACGCTAGACTAGTGTATGTGGTGACGGCTGAGAGTTAGTCTAGTTCCATTGTTTTTTTTGGGCTTGCTTGGTATTCTGCGTTAACGTTGGTGCAATATTTGTACCTAAGGCTGATCACGAAAGCGGCTGTTTGCGTTTGACCCAGGGGGGCCTTTGGTCGTCTTACATGCGATCTTATTTGTGTGAGGCAGTGCCGCAAGCCGTGAAGAGAGTAAAGAGGCTGTTCCGCTCGGGAAGACCAATAACAATCCATTTTGCGAGGAAGATCGAAAGATTGATGATTCATTGCTGTGGCAGTAAGGGACAAAGAGATGTTGTGTGATGCTTTCTGCATGAATTGCAACATTCCACATGCATATGTTTGGGGTAACCTCGAACTCGTTGTCCTCATTCATACGCCGCGAAGTCATCGCTGGCGTATCCTGGAATCTACGGCGGTACATACAGAATTATTATGACTTAATTAACATAATAGAAGTATCTGGCTGCTGAAAGAGTATATGATTACCGCGGGCTCGCATCCCCTGGGGTAGTAGGTCTGTGATGCATTTCAAAGCCCAGTCTACGTGAGACCTAGAATTTAAATCTACACCAGCCGTGTTTGTGGAGTTCTGTGGCGAGATACGTCCGCGGGAACAATTCCCGGGGCTTTCAGCAGCGGCACCAACGCAGCCCGACCTCCAACACACACCGCTGCTGTAAACAGCCGACGACCCCGAACAACCGAGAAACCGAGCATGGAGGCACCGCCCTGAACAATTAATGTTGTCACCATTGTAGCATTGAAGGAGCAGGCTTCTTTTAGTGAAAAAGCGCGCACACTGCATGTAGGAACAGGAATGACCTCAAGTGCGTCGTGCGTAATGGTGTGTGTATGGTCGCCCGATGTCGCAAGTGTCGAGGCACGCATTTTCCTTCGTAAAATAGATTCTACTTGTAAATCCAGTTAAAAAATGTGCAGTTCCAAATCGGACCAAAAACTGTTTCTCATAAGTTACGATTTTTTTCAAAAATAAATAAATAAATAATAAAAATAAATAAATAATAAAAATAAATCGGGGGTAGTTTCAAATTTTTGAGGGCCGAACCACGTAGATAGTGTGGACACACATCGAGCACGGGCGTTGCAGCAGCAGTGCCTGAGCCGACCTTGAGATCGCGCGGCAGAGTCAGCATCGCCTCTGAGGTCCAAACCGAACGGTGAGGACGTGGCGAGCCGGGGTCGGCGGTGCCCTTGGGATCCAAGGCACGCAGTCGAAAACGTTCTTGCGCGCGCGAGAGAGACCCACCACCTCTTCCCTGCTGAACAACAACATATTCGAAGAGGTGAGAGCTACGGACGCGGAACTTGTCCGAACGCGAGTAGCGGTGAGCGGACCCGTCCTCGTGCTAGGCCCACTGCCCGTTCAGAGGGTAGCTTCGCTCACACTTGTGCAATAGCTGGATTTCTTCCCTCGACGCCTTTTTCCCGCCATATATGCATACAAGGCTCTTTGCTTTTTTTTTTTTTTGTGTAGCAGCGCACTATTTAGGCAGGGAGTCACCGACAACCCGCCTGCCTGCCAGCCTGTTTGCTGGGCAGCTCAGTGGACGGCGATGAGAAAATCGAGGCTCTGCCGCTTTTCTTGTCTGACATGCCTTGCCCCCCGACGTGTGCCTCGCGTCGTAGCGGGCAATGCCAGAGGAGGAGGGAGGACAAGAAGACTCTGGCGTCGTCTCTCGTTGCTCCTCGGCGGCTGCTGCTGCTGCTGTGTTCTCTTGCCGTGGAGGGATGGAGAACCCGGGGACGCCTACCCGTAAACCTTCCTCGGGAAAGGAAGAAGGTGCGTGCGTGGGTATGCATCGATGCTGCGCGTGTTAGTACTTGCTAGTTCGATTGGTCAGAACCTCTCCCACCGTCGGAGCGAATCTACTTCACCCAACTTCTGCATACAGCCTCACCGGCATTTTGCTTTTTCTTTGGTATTTATTTTCTGGTCACCCGCCCGCAATACTGGACGCCCCCACCGTCGACCACTTTTGGGACGCAACCCGTGGGACGATGATGGCGATTATTTAAGGTGTTGCCGTGAAAAGGAAGATTGAGAGGGGCCGAATGCTGCTACGCCTTGCCTTCGACACGCGACGAGCTGTCCCACATCATGAATGTAGCATTCGGCATTCGTTTCTTTCGGCTCACCTCGGGCGTTGTGTTTTTGTTCGAAATTGCTCTTGAACTTTGAATGTACGGTTCTGCCAAGCACACATCGCTCCTACACACCCGCGAGCGACATTCGACTGCTTGTACTGCTGTACCGCTGTAGTTTCGCGCGAAAACGCGTTTTTTTTTTAACGATGCACACGCGCGAGCGCGCACTACACAGCAGTTGACAGATGGTTGACGCACGTAAAGAGTAGAGTATGACAGAGGGAGAGAGCGAGAGGCATTCAACAACAGAGCAGTCGCCCGCTTAGCATAACATGCGCACACACTGCTGTTCGACGCGACGTACTGCTGTCCGACGTACCTTGCTCCTCGATTGCAATGTAAGCACGATGTACGTATGCATACCAGTAGTCTTCGCAGGGCTGTCCGTACGTCGATACCTTTCTGTTATCATGTTGCACAAAGCACACAATGGGAGAAGTTGCCTTAGGGTTAGCGCCAAGGCGGTCCCACGACACAACTTTACCGCTCAGTCTATATACAACGCTAGTATGCAGCATTGTACTTGTAGTTCCGGCTCAAAGAGAAAGAAACGTGATTTCGAGGTCTACAACAGGCTCAATTTCTTCTTTCGTCACCACCGCCGAGAGATGCATAGCGTGTCATGTAGAGTGTGATGAAGTAGGATCCACGGCTGAGGTGTGTATCTCAGTCGCTTCTTATTTGTCGTGAAAAGTTTGTTGAGCCGTTGGGCCTGGCAGCTTGTCCTCACTCACGTCAAATTTTCAATTTGATGGTGGCCCTCAACTCTACTGCCGTACAAACATATAGATGGGTTCCACGCGGCCACAACCATGACCCAAGGCCAAGACTGGTGTAGTCTAAGTACAATCTTTTGTTGTGTTGGTACAAGCAAACCTGTTGGACGGGCGAGAGACCGATTGAAACGCTGCCGCGGCGGTTTGGCGACGGGCGGCCGGCCCCACGCCACATGCCCCATCCTCCGGACCGCCTTCTTCGCGAGGGTTGTAGACTATGATACGGACGGAGTATGACATACATGAGAGAGGGGGGCTTCGTGTCCGGATCCGTAACCCTAGTCTCCAACCCCACCCCGTACCCGCTACCAAAAACCAAGCGTAATTGCTTGCGAAGGTTGCTAATCCACACCCAACCCGGCACCAGCGTCTGACACGAGGAAACCGTGGCAGCGGCCACTGCTGCGCACCACAGAAACGTTCAACTCGCCTGCTGCGCACGCCCGTACACACAAAACACCTTCACACCTCTCTGCCCTATCGCAACCTTGCGCTCGTCTCCCCCAAACGCAGATGCTATGTGGTCGCTGATGAAGCTCGCCACTCCCGTCAAGTCTCCTGGCCTCCGGGCCGCTTGCGGGGACAACTCCGCCGGGGGAGCGGCGGGCAACAGCGCCGGCGGCACGGAGATAACACCGGTGTCGCTGTTCAACAAGTCCCGACAGCCCGGCGAGATGGGCGGGCAGCTCCAGTCGCCCTTCCAGTCGCCCTTCAAGAACTTCCAGTTCTCCCCGAGCTGCCTCTTCAGCCCCCCCGGGGCGGGGACCCTGGACTTCCCGCTCGCCGGCGGCGACACACCGGGGCCGGCGAGCTCGAGCCGCAGCGATATCTGGCAGCAGATGACTCCCGATCGCCGCTCGAACCAGAGGGGAGGAGGGAAGGCGGTGCGGGCGGGGAGTGCGGGGGACGTACAGGCGAGCGGAGGCGTCAGCGAAGACGGAGGGGTTGTTGCGGGAGTGGCTGCCTCCGGCGGCGAGGGCGGCGGAGGCGGTAGCGGCGGCGATGTCGGCAACACCACGCCCGGGAGCTGCGGCAAGAGGAAAGGCAAGGCGCTTTTCACGGACAAGCGGGGGCCGCAGGACCACCACCATTCTCACGCCCTCGGCGGCGGCGGGCAGGCCTGGTGCTTGGGCACGCCGATGAGGCCTGTCCGGGAGAGCGGGGTCGTGCACCACCACCACCACCACCACCACCTCGGCGGCGTGGCCGACATCCCGACGACCCCGGACCGAACGACGGGGGCCGACGGTTCCCAGATCCTGCCACCGACCCCTCAGCTCTTGCCACCGACCACGCCATCCCGCGCCTCCCGCGAGGCCACGGACGCGGCTGCGGCGGCGGGCGGCGATGATGCGGCGGGGATCTTGATGGGGCTGCGCAGCCCGGAGAGCTTGTCGTTTAACGGCAACATCGAACACGCGTTGTTTTCTGGCTTTGACGGTGACGGTGACGGCGGCGGCAGTAGCGGCGGTAGCGGCGGTAGCGGCGAAGGTGACGGCGTTGGCGGCGGTGGTCACCGGGGTATGGTCGAGAGAGGGTGGAGTGACGATTGGAGCAGCAGCAGAGGGGGAGGGGGAGGGCGGGGGGGGGGGGNGGGGGGGGGGGGGGGCGGCCTTGGTGAGCGACGCGCCCCACACGGCGCCTGTGAAGCGGTACAGGAGCAGCGGACCCGTCTCGCTGAGAGACGCCCATTGCACGGGCTCCTTCACGATCGAGCGAGGCACGCTCATTCGCTCGTCGTCGAGCTGCTCGTCCTCGGTCGGGGGCGGCGTCACCGGCTCGAACGGCGTCAGGAGCGGCGGCGCCGGTAGCACAGGAAAGGGCAAGGGTGCCGGCAGCAGCAGCCGCAACAAGAACAAGAACTCTGGTGCCGCCGAAGCGTCTAGCCGCGGCGCCGCTTGCCAGGTGAGAAGCCGCAGGAAAAGCATCGAAGAAGAACCCCTCTCTCCTCCCAAGCCAGAGCCCTCGCCCGGCCCGCCCGCCCTCGCCATGTCGAGGCGCTCGTTATCGTTGTCCCCGGCAAGATCGGCGGTTGCGAACAGACCAGCGGCGGGCGGCGGCGGCGGCGGCGGCACCCCATCGACCGCTCCGCGGCCGTCCGCGCGAGGGACTAGAGTGGACAGGTCTCGGAAGGGGCCAGCGGCGGCCGCGGCGGCGGTGGTCGCCCCGAGCAGCGGCGGCTGCGGCACGGCGTCTTCGATCGTCACGCCAAGCCCGACGACGACGGCGGCGCCGCCCTCTTCTCGGCCCGGCCGGTCGTCCGCGAGCAAGACTACCCCGCCGCCGGCACGAGCCG